CGGGCCGGAGGGAGGCCAGGCCATCGCGGCGCCCCAACTCCCTGCGTCCCCTCCTCAGTTCTTCCCCTACGGCGATGCCTCCAAGTTTGCTCAGCACGCTTTCCGCACCTTCGACAAGAACGGCGACGGCACCATCGACTTTCGGGAGTTCATCTGCGCCCTTTCTGTCACTTCCCGCGGCAGCTTCGAGCAGAAACTCAACTGGGCCTTTGAGATGTACGACCTGGACGGCGACGGGCGCATCACGCGCTTGGAGATGCTGGAGATCATCGAGGTGCGCTGGGGCGGACAGAGAGGCGGGGGTGTGCGGGGTGGCGCGCCCCCTGTCTTCGCTGCCAGGCCCTTCTCTGCACCCCTCTCCAGCCAGCTCCTCGGGCCTCAGGAGCGTCCTCGCTGCACCCACCTTCCCCCCACCCCGCTTCCTAGGCCACTAGCATGGGTTGGGAGCGTGGTGTTGGACAGGCCTTGTGCTAAGTCCTTTACCCAACAACCCTGGAGGGTAGGTACTGTCAGAAACCCCATTTTACAGAAACGTAGCAAGTGGTGGTTCATGATTCAAATCCAGGGAGTCTGACTCCAGAGCCTAAGTTCTTTTAGCTCCTTGTTCTTTCAACAAATGTGTATTGAATGCCTGTCATGTGCCAGGCGCTGTTCAGAGTTCCTGCTTTCATGGGAAGCAGGGAGACTATAGTTAGGAGACTTCACAGCAGCCCAGTCAGGATCTGATGGAAGTGACAGCCATGGAGGGTCAGTAGAAGTGGTTGGATATGGGATTGATTGGGATTTATTGCAAAATTAGAGCTGACGAGATTCACTGAAGGATTGGACGTGGGTATGAGAGAAGGAGAGTCAAGAATAGTGTCAAGGTTTTTGAACAACTCGAAGAATGAATTTGCTGTTTCCTGGGACGAGATTCACTGAAGGATTGGACGTGGGTATGAGAGGAGAGTCAAGAATAGTGTGAAGGTTTTTGAACAACTCGAAGAATGAATTTGCTATTTCCTGAGACAGGAAATGAATGCCTGGGGAGGAGCAGGTGGAAAGTGAAGAGTTGGGTTTTAGACATGTTAGTGTGAGATGCTCATTAAATATCCAGTCTTAACGATCATACATCACATCACCTTCCAGCATCCTCCCCCAAACCCCCTTCACTCACCCCCAATCCTCCTGCCCCCGTTCCTCACCAGGCTATCTACAAGATGGTGGGCACCGTGATCATGATGCGCATGAACCAGGATGGGCTCACGCCCCAGCAGCGTGTGGACAAGATCTTCAAGAAGATGGACCAGGATAAGGATGACCAGATTACTCTGGAGGAGTTCAAGGAGGCAGCCAAGAGTGACCCATCCATTGTGCTGCTGCTGCAGTGTGACATGCAGAAGTAGAGAGCAAAGGCTGGTGAGGGGCAGGGCCCTGGCCAGGAGGAGCGTGGCCACCTCCCAACCCCATGACCTCTCTGGCTGGCCCTTCCCTAGGGGGAGGGGTACTCCAGCCTCATTCTCTGGCCCACCCACCCCTGTGCCCAAGCCCTTGCTCCCCTCAATCAAGATCTTTGAGGGACCACTTCACCCTGGAGAAGAGAGATCCTCAGGTATCCTGTGGTCTAGACCCACCCCCAGTCTTGGCCCAGAACTAACATCCACTGGGCAAAGGGGAGTTAGCCTTTGCCCCTACAGGCAGGGTTAAGGAGGGAGGCTGGGGTTCTGCTTTGAAAGTCCGTTCTTCCTGGGTTTATATTTTATAAGATGTGGTTCCACACACCCCAGTTAAAGGGCCAAATTGGGTCTGTCCTTTATTAAGGACCCAGATCCCTTACAGGTGGTCTCTGTCCTGTTCCCTCGACTCTCCCTGGCTCTTTTGGCTCCTGTCTTTGGAGCGTTCATTCGGTCCTTTCTTCAGCTAACAGTCATTGAGCCCCTGTTCAATGTCAGGCACCTCTTGGTGCTAAGGATATGGTAGTCTACAGGACACATTCTGTGCCCTCCGGAAGCTCACACAGTGAGGCAGGCTTCCAGTGGTCAGAGACGTTGAACACAGCTGAGCACAGGGTGGGTAAGGCTGGTTAGTTTGAGAGGAACTATTAAATCTTTCCACTCCGTTCTATGCAGAGTTGCAGGAGGATAAATGAAGTGTTTGGAAGTCTAGGAACCATGTAAGTGGAAGTTTTAAGAAAAATTGAAATTTATGCAATACCTAATTTTTTTTAGTACCCTTAAAAGGAGCTAAAGTAATTTTATTAGTTTAGGGTATTAAAACATACTCTATATTACTTGATTTCTTATAAAATAATAAAATGAATACAGAAATGCTAATTTTCATGGGGAAAAAGCACTGAGAGAGAAAAAAAGAGGGAAACACCACCAAACTCACCAGAAAACACTTTTTCTTATCAAGCTAAATCCTGAGCTGTTGCCATCAGCAGCTTCTACTGCTTCCTTTTTACTGATCTTTTTCAATTCCGTGAGCAACTCTGTTTGGTTAGGTGCTGTCTTCAGAAACACAAAAACAAGGTTCGCTGAGAGTGAGACTGTGTATTTCCCACATCTTGGTAGTTCCTTTCTGGATTTGATCTAGTTTCAAGGATGGGCTTGTTCTTTCACTGCTACAGAAGTAGAAGGAGCTAGAAGAAGAGCCCATCTGGCCAGTGTTTAGGTGCCAGGCTGCATTTATGGACCAAATGCCTAAAAATGTGCTGGGCATGCTCCATTTGAAAAGCTTTTTCTAACTCCAAATCTTAAATCGGGCAGGTAATTCATCATCTTCTAAGTGCACTGGCTTTGCTTCCCAATGTCTGCTTCCCGGTTTTGGATCCATGAGCTATACAGCTGCATGCTTTGGCTGCTAGACAGTTCCTCTTGCTTCTTTAAGTCTTTCCCTTTACTTTCTCCTATACTTGTGATCAGAAGTTAGCTTTCATGTGCAGTGACCGTTGACTTCCTCTTGAACTGCTGGTGAAAACAGTCTAGTACACAGGTGCTGTCAGCCCAGGGTGGGAACAGGGAATGGTTGCTGAGTTGGGGGTGCGGATTGTACCTGCAGGGAAGCAATGAAGCTTGTCTTTTACTTCTGAGTGTTCACCTGTCCTCTCTCTCTGCAGGATGTCCTCTCATCTTGGGGATGTGGACCTTTGGTCCAAAACTCTACTGGGCCTTCCTTCTTGCTGCTCTTGGAGGTAGCGAGGCCACTGGATTGCCACCTCTTTCTATCCTGTCTATGACCTGCCTGTTACCAAGGCTAGGGAACTCACATCCTCAGGCAGTCACCAGTAGGCTTTTATCCAGTAACGCCTCAAAGGATGTTCCATTGCTCTCAGGAGCTGGCCATGAGTGTATCTTGTGCTGTCAATCGGCACCCCAGATACTCAATAGCCTGGCTCAGCTGACACTTCCAATGGAAGGCTTTTTGCAAAGTGGGGTTCCCATCCCCCAAACGTTGAATCTAACTCAACTCCCAATCACACAGAACTTCATGGCTTTCAAAGGCTTGCCATCCACCCCATCTTATTCTACGCTCACAGCCTAGGGAAATGGGGATTTCATTTCCCATTTCCTTTCTCCAGACTTGGAGACCGAGGCACAGAGAAGGGGAGTCTCTTGTGCAAAGGCACAGAGTCAGGAGGTGGCACAGTGCCAAGACTTGAACCCAAGACTCTAAGCAGGTTCTTCCCTTCAGAGTCTCTCCCCTACTCATTTATTTGACTCTGAGTTGCACAGAGGTTGGCTGGGGGGCAAGCTAAGTTAGTTTGGTCTTTTACAAGCTTCCTGCTAAGAAGTTCCTGAAGCTGTGGTCTTCCAAAAAGAAATAGGAACTGGGGTTGAAGTCCCCACATTTTCGAGCATCTTGTTTTCTGTTCTGGGCAGCTCTGCCTACAAATCAGTGCTGTCCTAGGAGGCCTCTGACTCGGAACCCTGGAAGCGTCTTGCACTGTCTCTACCATCAACTTCCTCCCTAAGAGAACTGCTTTTGTGTTTTCCCAGCTGGTAGGCAAGTCCTACCTGCGAGGGCGTGTTTGATCACTCCAAGCTTTTGGACACACATCCCTGGCTGATATTTGCTGGTGAGGCCAAAGACCCAGCAGTGCCGAATACATAATGCCAGGCCAGGGACCGGGATCACCATCTCGCTAATGGGAGGAGCCATAGACAGGCCAGGCCTGGCTCCCACTTGCTCCTGATGTCCTAAGGACGCTGCTTGGGAGCTCCGGTGGTAGAGCACTGGCCCTGCTGTGAGAAGGGAGGCAGTCCTCCCATCTCTGCCCCAGCTGAGAGGGACTTGTCACAGAGCACAAGGTTAGCAGAGATGGAAGTATGACTCACATAGACTCAAAAATATACAGACAGTTAAGACGTTGATATATCCAGACTCTCCTTGGAAGTTCTGTATCTTCTTGCAGCAACTCTGAATTGCACGATTCCAAATCTATCTTCTAACTGTATTCTGTCCTCATTCAATCTTTGGTCCAACTGATGAGCTCCTTCTTATCTCTAAAAATCATCAACAAGGGCTACTTCAGATGGCCACTGCAGTCCTTTGAGCTATCGTCAGGATTACATAACCTACCTTAAATCAAAAATTAAGGAAAAGGAAGCCCATAAGCAAAGGCACTTTATCTTTTTCTGATAATGGCAGAGTCCCTAGAGGTAGAAATGAATTTTGAGAGAGAGAGAGAGAGAGAGAGAGAGAGAGAGAGGGAGGGAGGAGGGGAGAATACCTGGGGTTTCTAGGCACGGTAGTAAGCTGACACTGTAAATTTTTACACAAAAATTTACTAAAGCAGCAAATATTTCCTGAAGACCCACCCTGGGTGAGGCTTTGTGCTGGCTTTAGAGATCACTGTGGGGGCAAGAATATATTTTCTACATATTTTATTCATCAGTTTTGAAAAAAATTCAAATCCTGCAATTGAAAAGTCTCAGAAAAACATGGGATTTTTCTCTCTGAGATTTTCAGGGTTTTCTTTTCCCTTTGCCAGAGTGTGGGGGCAGGACCAGGCCTCTCAGGGGATCTGGCCCTTCCTACTTGGCGGAGGCTCTGGGAGTGTTGAGGCCTGGGGCAGGAGGGGGCTGGGTGGCACAGGGGTGCTGCCAGCTCATTCACCACTCTGGCCCTGTCCCCTCCGGATGTGCTGCTCCTGGCTGTGCCCACAGTGACTGTCCTCACTGTTCCACCCTGTGCTGTGGTGTGTGTGTGTGTGTTCACTGACAGTGAATAAAAGGTGTGACTGTGACTGTGCCGAGGGTTCCTGCTCTTCTCTAAGCTGGGAGAGGGCTGGAGAGAGGGGCAAGGGGGGGCTCACACCGTGGGAGCACCTCAGCAACGCCTTGGGACGGAGGTCCTTATTCTAGCAAGGACTCTGGTTACATGAAACAGAGACCCACTTGACAGTTCAAAGAAAGGAGTGAGCAGATTACAAGGGACCCTAAAGGTGGAAAATCAAGAACGACTGGGCCTTCAGGAACTAGAACTAAGAATGGGCCTCTCTCTTTTCTCTGGGCCTCACAGGCTCTTATCCCCTTGGCAATATTTGCATCTTTTCCTGGGTTTCTCTCCAGACTTCCTGGGTTTCCCTGCACAAAGTGGCTGCATCCTAACTCTGTATCAAGACTCACCAGCGAGGACAATGCCCCTCTGTGTCTCTTAGCTCCAGTTCAAAAGCAAAATAATCTGATTGGTTCAGCTTAGCTTTGGGTGGGACCCCTTGGTCCAATCATCTATGGCCAGGCCAGGTGCTGATATGCGGGGTCTTCAGGCAGAGCAGTTCCCCCAGAAGGAAGCTAGTGGCAGCAGATAGTGGGGCTCGGCTTCTCCCTCTGCCCAGTGGAAGGCATCATTCAAGCCCAAATGAGCAGATGGGGGAGGGGGGGCGGGGAGAGGCTATGAGCCAGGATTACAATGGTCCATGAGGTGCACTATGTACTAATTAGGGAAAGGGATCCCCTCTGAGTGGAAGCATCCCTGTAAGTATGCAGCCAGACCATGGTGGCACCTTCGGGCTAATTAGGAAAATATACCCCTTCTTCTCAACAAACACAGCCTTGTCATGTCATATGCACAGCTTGACAAGTGGAGTGCGGTCAGAGGTTGAGTAGAGCATAATTTGTTTGTTATAGCATTCACAGGAGCCCCGCCCAAAGCCCTGAGACCCCCTACACTGACCCAAATATGGAAAGGATTGGGGATGGGAGCTGGTGGTGAAATGTTCCTCTCAGAAGACCCCTCAGTAGTCAGAGAGGCACTATCCCCTGCCTGGGGTTGGGGACAGTGGCAGCTGCTGGTGCCTGCTTCCTTCTGAAACGCTCAGTTGCTCTTACAAGGGCTTTCTCAAGGACGCTCGGAGGGGGCCAGCTGCCTTGGCAGGAAGCAATTAGGACGGAGGAAGGAGGCTGACCTGGCCTCAGGGCAACCATGAACCTAAGGAGGTGACTCAGAAGTCTGAGAGCTGGGGGCTGCCATTCCTGGCTGAAGCCACACTGGGGGGATGGGGAGTCCTGCCTCCTTCCTGTCTTGGAGTGCATAGGCCCTGGATTACCATCTCCTTAAAACTTCCCCTAAGCCCTCATCATCTCTAGCCCAGGTGAGTCCACCTCCTGCTCTCAGGCTTGCTCTCTGCACCATCTACCTGGCGCAGAGTGACCTCCCTAAAGCAGTGATGGCGAACCTTTTGAGCTCGGCGTGTCAGCATTTTGAAAAACCCTAACTTAACTCTGGTGCCCTGTCACATATAGAAATTTTTTGATATTTGCAACCATAGTAAAACAAAGACTTATATTTTTGATATTTATTTTATATATTTAAATGCCATTTAACAAAGAAAAATCATGCCCTCAGTATCAACCTCCCCCAAGGCCTTGCAGGATCTTTCGCCTGCTGACTTCAAAAGCCTGTTCTTCCATCCCCTCCCCCTCCTGCACCCTGCATTTGAGGCACCCCGAATTGCCCCCCATTTCCCTAAGGGATCTCTTAGGCTTCTGCGCCTGTACACAAGCCATTGTCCCTCTCCCGTCTCAATGATCTCCTCTGTGGAGCCCTCCCAAACTTCAAACTGTTGGCTCCTCACGTGTACACAGTTCATCATGCGATTCCCTGTCAGCTGAGCTGGGCAAATGTGTAAAGAAGTCTGGGTTAGTTGAGGCTTTGGGTTGCAAATAAACAAAATCAAACAAGCTCAAGCAAAAAGAGAGGCTTAGTGGCTCATGTAATTGGGAGGTTCAGGCTCTGCTGGATCCAGAGGCTCAACGTTGCACCTTCTCTCCCTCCCTGCTTCTGCTTTTGCCTCTCTGTGACCCTATTGTCCTCCCCAGGTGGGCATCCCCCATGATCTTTCACCTGCTTCAGGGAAAGGAGGGTTCCCAGATCACATTGCCCCAGAGAAGAAAGAGCCCAATCTCCAAGCATCCAAATATAAGAGTATGGCAGAGTGACCCAGCTGGGCCACATGCTCATCCTTGGTTTAATCACTGTGTCCAAGAAAATTGGGCTCTACAGTTGGTCAGACTTGGGCCACATGCCTATTCTTATGACCAGGGAGGCAGGGAGGCAGGGAGGCAGGGAGGCAGGGCCAGTTACTAGAAGAAGAAGGTGGGAAAGGTTGCTAGTGAAAAAATAAAATAAAAACAGCGCCCAGCTGGTGTGGCTCAGCGGTTGAGCATCCACCCAGGAACCAAGATGTTACCTGTTCGATTCTTGGTCAGGGCACATGCCTGGGTTGTGGGCTTGATCCCCAGTAGGGGACGTGCAGGAAGCAGCAGAATGTCTCTATCTCTCCATCCCTCTCCCTTCCTCTCTCTCTAAAAACCAATAAAAACATATTTAAAAAACAAACAAAACAATAACCACCAACTCTTTAGGGAGGCATTTGTTGAAGTGATGTGGAGAATATCATGGAAATTTAGAGATGGGCTCTTTAGCCAGAGCCTCAACTGGGACTTGAGAAACTGTCAGGATCAGAGGTAGCTCCCTCTCAGGGCAGCATGGTTCCTCTTTTGTAGGGTCTCTACTCCCTTCTGCACATCTTCTTCCATCTTTACCTGCTGATCGGCTCGTTCTGCTCACAGATCACTAAGGCTCATCCAGGTCTCTTGGAAGCCAACTGCATTTCACGACATCCTCAGCTTCCACACTTGCGGTTGACTTTCCAGTCCCTGTTCCCCAATTCCAAATTCTTGAAAAAGAGGAATCTGGCCCAGATCAACTTTTCAACCGAGGCCACACAGGTCAAAGTTCACTGGACAGCATGGGGATGGCTCACCTTTGGGTCAGGTGCTCACTCCCACCCAAGTAACCACCTATATCAGTGATGGCGAACCTATGACACACGTGTCAGAGGTGACACGCGAACTCATTTTTTGGGTTGATTTTTCTTTGTTAAATGGCATTTACATATATAAAATAAATATCAAAAATATAAGTCTTTGTTTTACTATGGTTGCAAATATCAAAAAATTTCTATATGTGACATGGCACCAGAGTTAAATTAGGGTTTTTCAAAATGCTGACATGCCGAGCTCAAAAGGTTCACCATCACTGACTTATATGATCTCCTAAGTGATTTCTTCTTCTTCCTCCTCCTCCTCCTCCTCCTCCTCCTCGTCCTCCTCCTCCTTCATGAGGCACCTGAGAATAATTGACCCCTTCCTAGAGTTTCATTACTTATTGTTGTGTAACAAGCCACCCCAAAACTTAGTGCTTAACACAACAACAATTTATTTTTTTATGACTCTGCGGGTTGGCTGGGCTCAGCTGGGAGGTTTTCCTGCTTCATGGCTGTGGTCACTCATCCAGCAGGATCCCACTGGAGCTGAGCTGGAGCTAAAACAGCTAAGACGGCCCACTCATGTCTGGCAATTGATGCTGACAGTCTCGGGGGAAACTACTGTTCTCCACTGGCTACTTATCCTCCAGGGCCGCTCGGCCTCACCCTGTGGACTTTCCGGCAGGACATCCAGACTTCTTTACCTAGTAGCTGGCTCCCAAGAGGGCAAAAATGGAATCTGCAAGGCCTCTGAAGGCTTAAGCTTGGGAACTGTATAACATCCCTTCTACAGCATAATATTAGTCCACTCAGATTCAACCCCACCGCTGGATGGGAGAAATGTCAGTCACATTGCCAAAGGGCAGGCAGGATGGGAGAGAGTTTGGGCTCATCTATGGAAACAATCCACCAAGCCTTGAGAAGGGCGAGTGAAAACATACTTCCCCAATCCTAAATATTGTATTGTTATTATTTCCCCTTTCCTCCCACACAAGGTTTGGTTAGTTCCTCCCAGGAAGGCAGAGTCTGTCCAGGTCCCTCCATTCTGTACCCCGTCCCAGGCAGACGCCCTCCAGGCCAAGCCAGTATTTTTTCCTGCTGTTTCCACCCACCTGTGCACACTTCTAGGCTCGCCATGAGACTCCAGGATGGTGGTTCAGGAGTCTGATTCCAGCGCTCCTCTTCCACCCGCCCTCCAGCCAGCCACTTCATAGCCCTTAACTACTCAACCCAAGCTTGGTAGGTGGGGCCTGGGAGTGCGCGCCCCCTGCTGGCTATTGAGGGCCCAGCAAGAACTCGGGTCTGGAGAGAGAATCAATCCCTGGG